ATACTGGCTTCATAGAAAGAGTTTGGTAGTATACCTTTCTCTTCTATGTTTTTGAAGAGATTGAGTAGGATTGGTGACAACTCTTCTCTAAATGTTTGGTAAAATTCTCCAGTGTAGCCATCTAGTCCTCGGCTTTTTTTTTGGTTGGCGGTTTTTTGATGATATCTTCAATCCCTTCTTTTGTAATGGGTCTATTTAAATGTTCTACTTCTGTGTTGGTTTGGGTAGAAGTATGTTTCTAGACATTTGTCCATTTCATCTAGGTTTTTAAATTTGTTTGGAGTACAGTTTTTCATAGTAATCAGTTATGATCTTCTTTATCTCTGTTGGATTGGTTGTAATGTCACCAATTTCATGTCTTAGTTTGGTTATTTGCCTCTTTTGTTGGTTTGCTTTTTCCGATCTAGCCAGTGGTTTGTCTATTTTATTGATCTTTTCAAAGAACCAACTTCTGGTTATATTGATTTTATTGTTTTTCTATTTTCTATTTCATTTATTTCTGCCCTGATCTTTATTATTTTCTTTTTTATGGTAACTTTCGGCTTCCTTTTCTCTTCCTTTTTTATTTGTTCAAGTTGTTAGTTTAAGTTATTGATTTTGGATCTTCTTTTTTAATGTAGGCCTTTATCGCTATGAATTTACCTGTAAGTACTGCTTTCGCTGTGTTCCAAAGGTTTTGATATGTTGTGCTTTCATTTTTGTTTGGTTCTAGGAATTTTTATTTCAGTTTTGATTTCTTGTATGACCCAGTAGTTTTTTAGTGATGTATTACTTAGTTGGAGCCCTGGTGATACACTGGTCAAGAGCTCAGTTGCTAACCAAAAGGTCAGTAGTTTGAATCTACCAGCCACTCCTTGGAAACTCTGTGAGGCAGTTCTACTCTGTTCTGTTGGGTCACTGTGAGTCAGAATTGACCCAGCAGCAGTGGGCTTAGTATCTTCTCTTGAGAACCACTGGAGGGCACTCTTAACCTTAGGCGTTTTTCAGTGATGATTCAGGACTTCTGAATGGTTGATCTGTGGAATGCAGTACACCTGCATGGGAGGGTGGGTTTAGCTGGTTGCAGATGCTGATGTAAGCAGTGGGGCTCAGCTTTACTATGGTGAATGTAGGGGGCTCTCTTTCCCTTATGGGCACTCCTGCGCAGGCTTTCCCACAGTGTCCCACTGTGGGCAGGGAGCCAGCTCTTTCCTTCTGTGTTACCTGACAGTCTGAAGTGTTCCCCCCACCTTCCTGCCTGTGCAGTTTCTCATGGTCCTTGTGCCCGTCTGTCTCAGAAATTCAACAACACTCTTTCATTGTACCATGATCTCCCTTTGCCCCCTCACAATTGGCCTGTGCACTCCCTTGGCCAGTTTGCTCCCCCTTAAAAAATTGGGCTTCGGGTTTCTCAGATTAGCTCCCTTCTCGTGTTCCTTGTTTGGAGTGTTGCCTGTCCTGATCCCAAAATGGCTGCAATGAATGAGTGATCCCAGTATTAATGGGTAGGTTCTCTCAGCTTCTGTGCTGTCCCCACTTTTCCTCTCCCCCACTTCTGGACTCACCCGACTCTCTAAACCTCAGCTGCTGTCTGGAGATCTGAGATCTCGGTCTGTACTTGTTTTTATTCATTGTTCAGTAGGTTAGTTGCTTGGGAGAATAAATGGGAGTGGCCCCTCACTTTGCCATCTTGCTTCACCCCCACTTCTCTGAACTTTTAATGCTACTATAGCCAGAAGTTGCTTTCACCCAATTTTTCTGATTTTTTTTTTTCTAATTATTTGAATGATCTGGTAAATTAACTATGACACAAGGGTAATTTTTGCTTATTCTGATTGTGGGCTGTAGTGCAGCATGATCTCTAAAGGTTATTTTATAATCCCATAATTGAAAAATTTATGTGCATTTATCATGAGTTAAATAAGAATGACGTTGTCTTAGGCTGGATTCTCTAGAGAAGCAAAATCAGTAAAGCATATAAATATACGTATATATAGAGAGATTTATATCAAGGAAACAGCTCATGCAATTGTAGAGGCTAGAACGTCCCAAATCCTTGGATCAGGATAGAGGCTTTCTCTGATTCATGCAGCCTCAGGGGCTGGCAAACCCAAGATTGGCAGGTCAGAGAGCGGGGCTCTTGCTCACAGGCTGTGAAGGTCGATGAATCCCAAGATCAGCAGGCAGGACTGCAAAGCCTCTCCTGATTCACATAGCTGCAGGGGCTGGCGAACCCGAGATTGGCAGGTTGGAGAGCAGGGCTCTTGCTCACAGGCTGTGAAGATCGACAAATTCCAGGATCGGCAGGTAAGCTGCTAGCTCAAGTCCCAAGAACTGGAGGTCAGAAGAACAAGAGGCAGCTGCAGTGAGGGCAAAAGCCAGAGCGTCCACTTATATTCCGATGCAGGCTACACACCCAAGGAAACTCCCTTTCAACTGATTGACTACTCGCAGCAGATCCCATCATGGGGGTGATCACGTATAAACACTGAGAATCATGGCCCAGCCAAGCTGACACACAGTCTTAACCATTACAGATTTTTACCTGAATTGTATTGTTTTACTGACTCTGCAAAGGCATTTGACTGTGTGGATTGTAAGAAATTGTGGATAACATTGTGAAGAATGGGAATTCCAGAGCACTTGTGCTCGTATGGAAACTGTACATAGATCAAGAGGAAACTGTTCAAACAGGATAAGGGGATAATGTGTGGTTTAAAATCAGGAAGGGGTGCGTCAGGGTTGTATCCTTTCACCATACTTATTCAATCTGTATGCTGAGCAAATAATCTGAGAAGTTGGACTATATGAAGAATAATGTGGCATGAGGATTGGCAGAAGACTCATTAACAGCCCGTGCTACGCAGGTGACACAACCTTGCTTGCTGAAAGTGAAGAGGACTTGAAGCAATTACTGATGAAGATCAAAGACTACAGCCTTCAGTATGGATTACACCTCAACATAAAGAAAACTCGTCACAACTGGATCAATAAGCAGCATATTAAAGGAAGAAAAGATTGAAGTTGTCAAGGATTTCATTTTACTCGGATCCATGATCAATGCCTATGGAAGCAGCAGTCAAAAAAATCTAATGATGTATTGTACTGGGCAGATCTGTTGCGTAAAGAATCTTTAAAGTGTTAAAAAGCAAAGATGTCACTTTGAGGACTAAGCTGCACGTGACAAGCCATGGTATTTTCACTTGCCTCATATGCATGTGAAAGCTGGACAATGAATAAGGAAGACCGAAGAAGAATTGATGCCTTTGAATTATGGTGTTGACAAAGAGTATTGAATATACCACAGACTACCAGAAGAATGAACAAATTTGTCTTGGAAAAGGTACAGCCACAATGCTCCTTAGAAACAAAGATTGCAAGACTTCACCTCACGTACTTTGGATGTGTTATCAGGAGGGAACAGTTCCTGGAAAAGGACATCATGCCTGGTAAAGTATGGTCAGTGAAAACAAGGAAGACCCTCAACAAGATAGATTGACACAGTGGCTTCAACAATGAGCTCAAACGTAGCACAGATTGTGAGGATGGCACAGGACCGGGCAGTGTTCCATTCTGTTTTACATAGGGTTGCTCTGAGTCGGAACTGACTTGACTGCATCTAACAACAATAAAGAAGAATGAACTTATTACATATTGTTTGATGCTTTTTATTATTCTAGTAACTAGATTTAACTAATCTTTTGTATAAATTGCACCTAACAACAAGAAGAACAGAGTTCTTTGGTAAAAATTAGTATACCAGGATTTTTAAAAGTTATATTTAGCATTTTTTCCTTACTTTATTTTTCAGATGCAGATAGAATTCTGAAGGTTTTACTTCTTTTTGGTCATCAGTTTATGATAGCAATATGGTAAACATAGTACATAACTGGGCTGTGGCACTTACCTTTATTTTGACTGTTACAGTTTTCTAGCAGAATCGAGTATACATTGGAAACGAATGCTTTCTATGTTCCATGTGTCCATGATTATTTATATCTCACGTGGAATATAGAAGATAGGTATAATCCTGGGGTTTCTTAGGGGCACTGGTGGTGCAGTGGTTAAAGCAATTGGCTGCTAACTGAAAGGTCGATGGTTCGAACCCACCAGCCACTCTGTGGGAGAAAGATGTGGCAGTCTGATTCTGTAGAGATTTACAGCCTTAGTAACCCTATGGGGCACTTCTACTCTGTCCTGTAGGGTCACAGTGAGTTGCAATCAACTTGACAGCAGTGTGGGTTGGTTATCTGTCTTGTTCCCTAGGATTCCATTTCTCATGGTTATGTACTAAATGCTTGCTGTGTGTCAGGCATTGTCCAATTGACTTGACATATCATTTCATTTAATGTGAAACAGCAACTTTGAAATATAGATGTAAATATTGACATGTTTTGTAGATTGAGTTCCCCAAGAAGCTGACTGAGGTGGAGATTAGCGGGCATCGTGTTAATTGAGATTGTTGTGGGATCAACTCCTGTGGAAGGGGGGGCGGAGGAAAGAAGCAAGTTTGGGCAGAGAGATAGTCAGGTTGTGATGCAGTCTCCTCCAGGGATGCCCCAGCCGACCCTGTGGGGAGCTCTGACTGCCCTGAGCAGTGGGTGAGAGGGCCAGGCCTTTATTCCCCTGCAGCAGTCAGACACTGAATCACTTATAGCTGATGTGATATAAAGATTCCTACACAGTACCTTTTTTCTATCATGAGTCCCTGAGTGGTACAAACGGTTGACTCACTCCGCTGCTAACCAAAAGGTTGGAAGTTCAAGTCCGCTCTGAGGCACCTCAGAAGAAAGGACCCAGTGATGTACTTTGGAAAAGTCAGCCACTGAAAACCCTGTGGAGCATAGTTCTTCTTTGACACACATGGAGTTGCCATGAGTTGTAATAGACTTAATAGCAACTGGTACTGGTACACAACACTTTTTTCTATCGTAGAAACACTGTAGTAATTTGGAAATGGGCTATGATACAGTAAAGTCTTAGCTTATTAACAGCTAAAAATAATTTCTTTGCTTTTTTAGGAGTTGGTAATGCTTCTCTTGGAATATAATGCTGATACTACTGTTGTTAATGGGAGTGGACAGACAGCAAAAGAAGTCACTTATGACAAAGAAATTAGAAATATGCTTGAAGGTAAATATTATGGATCATAATGTTGTTGTTAGGTGCCATCAAGTCAGTTCTGACTCATAGCGACACTATGTACAACAGAACAAAACACTGCCCAGTCCTGCACCATGCCCACAATTGTTGTTATGCTTGAGCCCATTGTTGCAGCCACTGTGTTAACCCATCCCATTGAGGGTCTTCCTTTTTTTCGCTCACCCTCTACCAAGCATGATGTCCTTCTCCAGGACCTGATCCCTCCTGACAACATGTCCAAGTATGGATCATAATACATAATACAAACATCATTTTCCTGAGTAATAGCTAAGATCCAGAGTATAAGTAAAAACGGCTTCTGAGATGCCACAACAGATGACACCAAGCCTCAGCTCTAAAGATAATATAGTTTTAAGAAGTCATTGGTTAGAAACACAGTTATCTATATGAGCATTTCCTCAAGCCATCATTTACAGCTTTTAAACTATTTTTTTTTCTTGCTATGTTTTAAATGAAAGTTTACAATTCAAATTAGTCTCTTATACAAAAATTTGTACATACATTGTTATATGACCCTAGTTGCTCTCCCTGTACTGTGACAGCATACTCCTCCTTTCCACCACAGGTTTCCCATGTCTATTCAACCAGCTCCTAACCCTGTCTGCCTTCTCATCTCACCTCTGGACAGGAGCTGCCTATTTAGTTTCATGTATCTACTTGTAAACTCTTAATTTACACAGAATTATGGAAAGTTTTGTTACCTATTTTTTCAAATTTTCAATGAAATTAAAAGTAGAAAATTAGAGCCACGAGGGAGTATGGCTCTAGACTGAAGCAGTGAGGTGATGAAGGAATGCAAAAATGCAGGACAGGTAAACTGTAAGGTGTAGAGTTGGGAGTCATGCGAGGCTGGAGAAGGCAGTTCTGGCCAGCTCAGTTATCCTGAGGATAGAGTTAGACATCATGACTACAAAGATTCCTACTAACTCTGAACTCTGATTGGAAAGAAAGATGAAGAGTTCGTTTTTTAGTCATATTCAATTTAAAATTTCCAAGACAAATGATTTTTTGGATTTCGAGTACCGGTAGCCCCCAACTTACCATGGAGTTCCTTTATGACAACTGTATTGTAAATCAGTTCTGACATTGTCAAATACCTCATTTTTTTTTATTATTATTGCGTTTTATTATCAGTATCTTTATAAATCATAACATTGAACATCTGCAAGTGAATATCTGAGAGTAACATCAGCAAATTATGCACTGCAGCCTTATATGTGGTACATATTACTAATGATAAGATGTACAAAAAAAAAAACGTCATAAATGCTGTTCGTCGTAAATCAAATATAGCGTAACTTGGGGACTACCTGTATTTGCTTTAAAATAATGTACTGAGGTATAAAATATATATGGAAAAGTATACATCACTAATGAACAGCTCATCATTTTCACAAATGGAACACCTCCATGTAAGAAGGATCCACTTTGAGAAAGGGAACATTACCAGCCCTCCGGAAGCCGCATCCCCCAAAACAGAATGAACACAGGACGGGGAACGTCTAGGAACATAGTCCAGGAACATGTGCAGCCTTTTCAACTCTAAATCTCTGTCTGTTTTCCTTCATTTATGAGCCTTCCCTAAAGGCTAGAACCAGCATTAAGCATTATTTGATTATTCAGTAAATTTTAATTGACTGAGTATGCATTGTGCTGGACACTGTTACAAATGCCTAGGCTACAAAGAAGAATAAGAACAGGGACCTGCCTTCAAGGATGTATGAGAGGATACATTACAACTCAAGGGATACATGCAATTGTAGAAGTATGTACAACAGGGATGGGGCAGTCCTGTTCTCCAGTAGCCAGAAGGAGGAACCAGTGAAGAGGAAAAGATTGAATGTAGTGAATTCCAGCAAAAGAAGGTGGCGATGAGGGCCTAGGTAGAGGTTTGGCCTTTTTCCTCTGAGGTAGAGTGGGGTCTAGGTATAGAATTAAAATTGCAAAAATATAAGATAATAGTATGTAGTAATGTTAGTTGTTTCTTAAGATTAAATTAGTTCCAGCTATTCCTGTATTCAGTATACTTGTTCCTATAGTTTAAATCGGATAGTGTGTATATTGTCTTAAACAACAATTAGTGCATAGTAGTTACTATTAATAAATGTTCATCTGTTTCCTCAATCCCCTGGCTCCCAGCCTGCTTCTCTTTCTGTGACCTTGACTTTAGCCAGGAAGACCTGAAAAGCCTGTTGTATTTCCTCCCTTGCAGCCTTTGTACAAGACACTGTACACACGTCTTGAGTGGGATTACTGAGCCTGTCTATGAATTTACTTCCATTCTGTAAGCCAAAATAAAATTCAAATCTAGCAGAAATTACACCTTTTTACATATTCCAGTCTCTTAAACAAATCAGATTGCCAGTTGCTCTCTTTCCCTGCGAACATGATTTGAGAGGCAACGTAGAGTAGTGATAAGAGCATGGACTCTAGAAGTAGCCTGCCCGAGTTCAAATCCCAGCTTTTCCACTTCCCAGCTGTGTGACTTTGGTTAAGTTCCTTAACCTCTTGGTGCCATAGTTTCTTCATCTATAAATGAAGGTAATAGTAATACCTACCTCACAAAGCACTACTGGTCAGTGGTAGTATTAATGAGTTAATATTTTTAAAGTGCTTTGAATAGCCTGTGACACATAGTGTTATAGTAGTTATTAAGTATGTAAAATTTGTTTATGTGGAAGTATGTAAGCAAATTGGAGCTCTGGTGGTGCACTGGTTAAGAGCTTGGCTGCTAACCAAAAGGTTGGTGGTTCGAATCCACCAGCTGCTCCTTAGAAACCCTATGGGGCAGTTCTACTTTGATGTATAGGGTCACTATGAGTCAGAATCAACTCGATGGGAATGGGTTTGGTTTTGGTGTATAAGCAAATTAATAAAAATCTAAGTATATGGTTGGTACATCTTCCTACCATTGTTATTATTTATTTATTTTTTAATTGTACTTAGATAAAGGTTTAGAGAGCAAATTAGTTTCTCATTAAACAATTAATTGACATTGTTTTGTGACATTGGTTGCCAGCCCCACGACATGTCAACACTCTTCCCTTCTTGACCTTGGGTTCCCTGTTATCAGTTTTCCTATCCCCTTCTGACTTCTTGTCCTTGCCCCTGGGCTGCTGTGCCCCTCCAGTCTCATTTTGTTTTATGGGCCTGTCTAATCTTTGCCTGAAGAGTGAACTTCAGGAATTACTTCAGTACTGAGTTAGCAGAGTGTCCGGGGGCCATAGTCTCGGGGTTTCTCCAGTCTCTGTCAGGCCAGATAGTCTGGTCTTTTTTTGTGAGTTAGAATTTTGTTCTGCATTTTTCTCCATCTCTGCCTGAGACCCTCTATTGTGATCCCTGTCAGAGCGGTTGGTGGTGGTAGCCGGGCACCATCTAATTGTGCTGGACTCAGTCTGGTGGAGGCTGTCCTACCAGTGTTATTTCTTATTACTGCTTTTCTCTTCACATTCTAAGTTTCATAAATGAAAATACGAACCTCACTTATCTACCTTTCCAAGGCAGATATGTGATAGAATTTCAGTATGTAAACATAATTTATAATTATTTGTGTTGGTTATTGTAGTGAGTAAAATACTTAAAGACCTCTGAATTGAAAACATAAATTCATCCAAACCTGTACTCTGAAATGTAAGACAGTGGGAATAACAATAAAGTGTAAGTATATTTGTATTGCAATTCAAAAAAATTGATTTTTCTCACCATGACCATTTTATTCTTTATACATCTTTGTAATAAATATGCAAATAGGATCCTGACAAGGAGTAGAGTAATATGTATTTTTCTTTTGCAGCTGTCGAAAGGACTCAGCAAAGAAAGCTTGAAGAATTACTCTTAGCAGCAGCAAGAGAAGGCAGAACAGCAGAACTTACTGCACTGGTAAAAAAAAAAAAGACTATTTCTTTACACTTTAGGAAAAAATTTTACTTAATGTTAGCCATAACTTAGTTGAATTGTGGGACCAAAAACTCTAGAGATCATAATAACAGAGCAAAGGTCTTTAAGTGTCTAAAAGCACTATCATGGTAATAGTGTAAGTAGGATACATTTTCAACTGGGATGTTTCTTTTGGAATTTCTGATTTACACCCATTCCTCCTCCTTCTCCCCTGAAAACTTGATGGTTAAGAGTCCAGTTTTTCAAGGCCGAAAGTTAGTGTAAAGACACTCCCCCCATCCCCCACCTTGATAAGGCAATAGCGGTCCTATAGGACAGAGTAGAACTGCCCTGTAGGGTTTCCACAGAGCTGCTGGTGGATTTGAACTGCCAGCCTTTTGGTTAGCAGCTGAACTCTTAAGCAGTACCCTGCCAGGGCTCGCTCCACATAATACATAGGGCTGTATCAAGGAATACATTTCTCTAATTTTGATGAGCAATGTGTTGTGAAAGGAGTAGCAGCTGTACTTCCAGGAAAGTAACATATAAAGGAGGAAAATGTTTTGAAATATGTAGATTTTAGAGCAGACCAAAAAGCTTTGCCCACTGGTTTTTTGGTTTTTTTTTTCTTTTTTCCCTTCTTCTTCTTAGGAGACCTACTTTCCAGTTTTCATTTCCTGCATAGTCTCATTAAACATGAAATTCTAAATTTGTTCCGAATTCAAGGCTTGAAGCATTGCCTTTTGCTTTAAAGTTATTTCAGCTCATTTGAAAAGGCTTCTTTGTTTTCCAAATTTAGTGCTAAAACGTTTTTGAAACTTTGTGAAATGGAGACTGTATAAAGAAGTTTTTTAAAGCAGTAAGTTGGAAGCAACAAATTAAGTAGAATTTTTACATTTACACATTTAACATTTATGGTATTAACTCTTCTGAATGACCATAAGTGGTAGACTGATTTGTAATTTTTCTGTCATGAGTTTGAATTACAAGACTGGAAGGAGGGAGCAAATCTTAGTGAAATATTAATTTCCAGAGGTGGCTGGGTGGTGCTGGCATCTGTTGTCAAAGGAGCGTGGGCCCTGGACACAGGCCTGAGATTTGGTGGCACCTTGGGAACAAGCCTGGGGAGTGACAGGGAGTGGCTCAGTGAGCAAGAAGCTACCGGCAGCCTAGCTGTCCAGGAGCCCAGCTGTGCTTCAGGCTCTGTAGTATGAGGGCTCGCCTGAAGCATTCATGTACACTTTTCTGCGTTTTATGGGAGAAGGTCTATCTTTGATATGTAATTCTGCATTGCATTTCTTTAATCTTTAGCTCAACAGGCCCAATCCTCCTGATGTTAACTGTTCGGATCAATTAGGAAATACACCCTTGCATTGTGCAGCTTACCGAGCCCATAAGCAGTGTGCCTTAAAGCTTCTAAAAAGCGGAGCAGATCCTAGTCGGAAGAACAAAAATGGTAAGCATGTTGGTGAAAGCCATGGTTGATTATTTGAAGCTATAAAATGAAGTCAATGCTGTGTAAAATTGTTTTATGTTAGTATTCAGCCTTTGTTAAACTGTATGGTCACTATTTAATTTTGAAATCAAGGAATTCACACACACACACAAACTTATTAATTTACTTCCCAGTTAAGCCTTAAATGGTTAATAATGCCTACTCCATAGGAGGAGCCCTGGTGGCGCAGTGGTTAAGAGTTCAGCTGCTAACCAAAGGTTGACAGTTCAAATCCACCAGCTGCTCCTTGGAAACCCTATGGGGCAGTTCTACTCTGGCCTATAGGGTCGCTATGAGTCGGAGTTAACTCGATGGGAACGGGTTTGGTGTTGTTTTTTTGGTTACTCTATAGAAGGCGCCAATGAGACTAAGATAGATCCTGCCCTCAAGGGAAAGATAAGAACATGCATAATATGCATGTAACAAAGGCAGAATTGGATAACCAGGTGAGAAGCCGCCTGGAGTGTCCTATTCATGCCTTTAAACCCATTGCCAGCAAGTCGATTCCAACTCTTTGCAACCGTATAGGACAGACTAGAACTGCGCCAATAGAGTTTCTAAGGAGCGGCCAGTGGATTCCAACTGCCAGCCTTTTGGTTAGCAGCCAAGCTCTTAACAACTGTACCAGCAGGGCTCCTTCTTGCCTTTAGGCACCACTTTTTAGGGTGCTTCCCTCTGCCTGCTACCAGTCTGGATTAGGAGTCCTCATTGGTCCCACAGGCCCTTGTGTTCACCTCCATCGTAGCCCAGATCACACTCTGTGGTAACTGTTCACTTATGCAATTGTCTCCCATTAGACTGAACTCCTAAAGGTGGGGAAATATCCTGTCTACTTTGCCCAGCACTTAGAGTAATGCATAGCACACAATGCCTTGTGAGTGTTGCATGTTGTGTGGAAGGGTTGGGGTATTTGGGAATAGCTTCATAAAGGATTAGATATTTGATATAGATCTTGAAGTCCTGGTATGACTTTTCTTTATTAAATTTCATCTGTAAATACTTCAGTTTGTGTCTCTAACAGAAAGCCCCCTACGTACTTTTCTTTTTTTTAATATAGCCACAGTACTATGATTATCTAGTAAGACTCTGATAAGCAGAAACTTGGGAAATGATGTTGTAAGCAGAGAGAAGATTACAAGCGAAGTCACTAAGGTCAAGTCAAGTTTAGGTGACATCCCCAGGTTGACATATGCAAGGGCACATGAAGGGGAGTGGTAGTGGGTAATCATCTAGATGAAGGTTAGGGTCATAGAGTGGAAAACCTTGAAATGACAGGCTATATTAAGTCTCAATTTGGAAGGTCAGGGAGGCCTTAGGGGGAAAAAAACTAGGTGAGCAGTAGAGGGATGAGGTTAAAACTCTGCTTTACAAAGGTTAATATGACGATGACCCTGCTGGTATTTGAAATACCAGTGGCATAACTTCCAGCGTCATAGCAACATGCAAGCCACCACAGTACAACAAACTGACAGACAAGTGGTGGCATTAGTCATCATTGTTTTTGGGTGCCATTGAGTCAGTTCTGACTCATAGCAACCCAATGTGACAGATTAGGACTACCCCCACAAGTGTCCTAGGCTCTGATCTTTATAGGAGCAGGTCGCCAGGTCTTTTCTCCCGTGGATATGATAAGTGGGTTCTAACCGCCAAACTTTCAGCTAGCAGCCGAGCCCTTAACCATTGTGCCACCAGGGCTCCTTGGCATTAGTCATTAGGGAGATGCAAATCAAAACCACAGTGTGATACTACTTCACCCCTGCTAGAATTTCTCTGATCAAAACAAAACACAACAGAAAATAACAGATGTTCTATGAAGCCAGCATAGCCCTGATACCAAAACCAGGCAAAGACACCACAAAAAAAGAAAATTAAAGACCAGTATCACTCATTAATATGGATGCAAAAATTCTCAACAAATTCTAGCCAGTAGAATTCAGCATCATATAAAAAAAAAATACACCACAACCAAGTGGGTTTCCTACCAGGTATGCAAGGATGGTTCAACATTAGAAAATCAGTCAACACAATCCACCACAGAAATAAAATAAAAGAACCACATGATCATCTCAGTCGATGCAGAAAAGACGTTCAACTAAGTCCAACACCCATTCCTGATAAAAACTCTCAATAAAATAGGTGCAGAAGGGAAATTCCTCAACATAATAAAGGGCATCTATACAAAACAAACCATATAAACAAAACCCACCATATAAACTTCCATATAAAGTTAATGATTAGTTTTTCCATCTCTTTAAAGAATGTTGTTGGTATTTGGATCGGGATTGCATCGTATGGAGAGAGGCTGAAAACATTCCCTTTGAGACAGGAACAAGACAAGGATGCCCTTTATCACCACTCCTATTTAACATTGTGCTGGAAGTTCTAGCTAGAACAATAAGGCAAGAAAAAGAAAGGGCATCCAGATTGGTAAGGAAGAAGTAAAACTGTCCCTATTGCGGATGATATGAAAACCCAAAAGACTCCACGAGAAAACTACTGGAACTAATAGAAAGATTCCGCAGAGTAGCAGGATACAAGGTAAACATACAAAAATCAGTTGGATTCCTATATACCAATAAAGAGAATGACAAAAAAGGAAATCAGGAAAACAATACCATTTATAATAGCCCCTAAAAAAATAAAACACTTAGGAATAAATCTAACCAGGGATGTAAAAGACCTATACAAAGAAAACTACAAAACACTACTGCAAGAAACCAAAGGAGATCTACATAGATGGAAAAACATACCATGTTCATAAATAGGTAGACTCAACATTGTGAAAATGTCAGTTCTACCCAAAGGAATCTACAAATACAACGCAATCCCGATCCAAATACCAACAACATTCTTTAAAGAGATGGTAAAACTAATCGTTAGCTTTATATGGTAAGGGAAGAGGCCCCAGATAAGTAAAGCACTATTGAAGAAGAAGAATAAAGTAGGAGGACACGCACTACCTAACCTCAGAACCTAGTATACAGCTACGGTAGTCAAAACAGTCTCATACTGGTACAACGACAAATACATTGACCAATGGAATAGAATTGAGAACCCAGATGTAAATCCATCCACCTGTGGTCGCCTGATCTTTGACAAGGGCCCAAAGTCCATCAAATGGGGAACAGACAGTCTTTTTAACAAATGATCCTGGCAAAACTGGATGTTGATCTGCAAAAAAATGAGACAGGACCCATACCTCACAGCATGTACAAAAACTAATTCAAAATGGACCAAAGACCTAAATATAAAACCAAAAACTGTAAAGATCATAGAAGAAAAAATAGGATCAACGCTAGAGGTCCTAATGCATGGCATTAACAGGCTACAAACCATAACTAACAACACGCAAACTCCAGAAGATAAGCTAGATAACTGGGATCTTCTAAAAATTAAACACTTAAACGTTCATCAGAAGACTTCACCAAGAGTAAAAAGAGAACCTACAGACTAGGGAAAAAATTTTGACTGTGATAAGTCTGACAAAGGTCTGATCTCTAAAATCTACAGGAAAATCCAACACCTTTACCACAAAAAGACAAATAATCCAATTAAAAAATGGACAAAGGAAATGAACAGACACTTCACCAAAGAAGACATTCAGGTGACTGACAGACACATGAGGAAATGCTTGCAATCACTAGCCATTAGAGAAATACAAATGAAGACCACAGTGAGAGACCATCTCATCCTGGCATTACTAGCACGAATCAGAAAGACAGAAAATACTAAATGTTGGGGAGGCTGTGGGGAGATTGGAACTCTTATGCGCTGCTGGTGGGAATGCAGAATGGTACAGTCATTTTGGAAAATGATAGACGATGCTTCCTTAGAAAGCTAGAAATAGAAATACCATATGATCCAGCAATTCCACTCCTAGGAATATATCCCGGAGAAATAAGAGCCGTCCGGAAGAGATACATGTGTACCCATGATCATTGCACCATTGTTCACAATAGCAAAAAGATGAAAACAACCTAGGTGCTATCAACAGATGAATAGATAAACAAACTATGGTATATACACACAGTGGAGTACTACTCAACGGTAAAGAACAGTGATGTATCTGTGAAGCATCTCACGACATGAATGAATCTGGAGGGCATTATGCTGAGTGAAATAAGTCAATCACAAAAGAACAAATATTCTGTGAGACCACTGCTATGAAAACTGATGAAAAGGTTTACACACAGGAAGAAACAATCTTTTGATGATTACGGTGGGGAGGGGTAGGGATGGAGAAACACTAAGTAGACAATAGGTAAGTGGTAACTTTGGTGAAGGATTTAAATCTAAATTCAAAAAAAGAAAATAACAGATGTTGGTAAGGATTATGGAGAAGTCGGAACCTTCCTCCATTGTTGGTGGGAATGCAAAATGGTGTGAAAACCGTCTGGTAGTTCATGAAATAGTTGACAATAGAACTGCCGTTTAAGACAGCAATCCCAATCTTCGGTATATACCCAAAATAATTGAAACCAGGAATGCAGACAGAAAGCTGTACACCAGTGTTCATTGCAGCACTGTTCACAAAAGCCAAAAGACAGAAGCAACCTAAATGTCCATCAACAGATGAATGGATAAACAAAATGTGGTACATACATACAATGGAACATTCTTCAGCCATAAAGAGAAATAAAGAACTGATACATGCTAAAACATGGATGAACCTTGAAAACATTATGCTGAAAGAAGTCACTCAGTCACACAAGGGCAAATATTGTATAATCCCATTTACAAAGTTTATTAGTGGTTACCAGGGGTAGGAGGGAGTCACCCCTTAGGGGACACTGAGTTCCTGTTAGTAGTGGTAGAGTAATTTGAAAATGAGTAGTGGTGATGGTTGCGCAACACGCTCAACATAATGTCACAGATTTGTATGTGTAAACAATGTTAAATTGGCAGAGGCTTTGTTGTATATATTTCTGTCACAATAAAACAATACAAAAGTGAATTCACAT